TTCAAAAGTTTAATTTTGAACTCTTAAACTTCAGCTCATTGAAAATACTAAAGTCCCTTTGTGAACTCTCAATAATTCTCTTCACCCATCAACACCCATGCTCACATATCTATAATGATGTGGTTAAGCAACACCTCAATTTTAGTATTCACATACATATTTTCAAATCCCTCTTTGGGTGAACCCCTTGCCACTTGAGCAATCATCACCACCCTCATAAGGTATATTATAAAGAAAGAATCCATGATGTTGAGAGGTGGGGGTGTAGTACATTAGCATGGGTGGAGCATTGAATAACTAATAGAAGGCAAAACAGTGGGGAAAAAAGGATCTTTTTGTAACAGGGATCATGGCCATCCCAGGAATCAGTCTGGTGAACCTTCATTGCACTCCCTCCATAGCCAGAACATCCTTCCTCAGATAAGGAGAACAAAACAGTACACAATGCCAGAGGAAGTGGTGGAGGCAGGTACAATTAAAACATTTAAAAGGCATCTGGATAGGTATATGAATAGGAAGGGTTTAGAGGAATATGGGTCAAATGGGATGTCTGGTCAGCATGGACGAGTTGGACTGAAGGGTCTGTTTCTGTCCTGTATGACTCCTTGACTCTATACTACTCAGGCATGGTATCACCACAGCCCTGTACAATTGCAGAAGACACTGCTGTTCCTCTCACGATGAGGAACAACCTATATTTGCCTTCTTCACTGCCTGCTTACTTTCAGCGACTGCTACACAAGGATACCCAGGGGTCATTGCACCTCCATTTTCCCAATCTAATCATCATTCAGGCTTGGTGATGGGATACCGGCCTCTGAACAGTTATTTCAGTTTAACAGCACATAGCTGGAAGGGACAATTCACCAGCATGGAGAATCTAAAGAGAGAAAACAAATACAGGTCATTTCAAACAGCCACCAAGGAGAAAAAAAATGAAAGGTAGCACAACATGTAAAATGCTGCACATTCACTGAAGCAACTTAACTAGACCATAAACCACACAAGAAAATTTCAAAATCCAATCAAGTTCTCCAAACCATATTTTGGATTTCCCATCCAGAAATAATTCCACGGATTTACAGTAAAGCGCAATCAACTCAATAAGAACAATATTCGGATTTGACATTTTAAAACATTTATTTCATACTTTTTTCTCCCTCTAATCCATGAAAATTCCAGATCGTAACTCAAATCAACTTCACAAGGCTTTGAGTGATGCAATTGGTCATGTCTTCTGCTACTTGCCAGTTTGAAACTGATACCTACTGAGTCAACACAAGGTGTCACTGATCTGTTTCAGCTGCTCACTCAGGAAGAATTCTCTCTAACAAACCTCTGCATTGCTCAGAATGTCAAACGTACTGGGATCGTTCAAAATATAGCTCAGTGTTCATTTGCTTTCAAAGGGTTAAGTGGACTTATGAATTACATGAACCATCAATCAATAAGCAAAAAGAGTAACCTCCTGGACCAGTTTATTTTTTCTTGGGTGGTAGGGAGGCAGGAATGGCAGGAGAGAGTTGAGTTGGGGGAAGAGGGTTGAGTTGGGGGTAGGAGGTGGGGCGAATGAGGGGAAAAAGGTGTTAATATAGTCAGAGAGGATTTTCCTGCACCTTTTCCCTCCAAAATGGCTTAAGTTGTTTTTAAAGACTGTGCTTTTCTTCATTGCTCAATTCAAGAAACGTCAGATGACCTGGACATTGTGTATATTGTGGGACAGTTTTTGATAGATAAGATGATGTTTTCCTTTTTATTACTGTTAGTATGTATTTCATCAAGAACACAACATTTCCATTCCCAGGGTAAACAGTTTACATGACTTCATGAGAACAGCAACATAGTGGTTACATAGAGAATAGTTATAGAGTCATCAAGTCATGAGATGTACAACACGGAAACAGAACCTTCGGTCCAACTCGTCTATGCCGACCAGATATCCTAGATAAATCTAGTCCCATTTGCCGGCATTTGGCCCATTTTCTTCTAAACCCTTCCTAATCATATACCCATCCAGATGCTTTTTAAATGTTGTAATTGTACCTGCCTCCACTACTTCCTCTGGCAGCTCATTCCATATGCGCACCACCCTGAGTGAAAAAGTTGCCCCTTAAATCCCTTTTAAATCTTTCCCCTCTCACTTTAAACCTATGCCCTCTAGTTTTGGACTACACCACTCCAGGGAAAAGACCTTCGCTATTAACATTATCTATGCCCCACAGGATTTTATAAACCTCAACCTCTGATGTTCCAGGGAAAATAACCTTAGCCTATTCAGCTTCTCCCTAGAAGTCAAACCCTCCAACTCTGGCAACATCTATGTAAATCTTTTTTTGAACCCTTTCAAGTTTCACAATACCCTTCCTATAGCAGAAAAATTGAAATTGCATTCAGTATTGCAAAAGTGGACTAACAAATGTCCTGTCCAGCTGCAATATGACCTCCTAACTCCTATACTCAATGCACTGACCAATAAAGACAAGCATACCAAATGTCTTCTTCACTATCCTATCTACCTGTGACTCCACTTTTAAGGAAATATCAACCTGAACTTTAAAGTCCTTTTGTTCAGCAGCACTCCCCAGGACCTTACCATTGAGTGTATGAGTCCTGCCCTGATTTGCCTTTCCAAAATGCAACTCCTCACATTTATGTAAATTAAACTCCATCTGCCACTCTTCGGCCCATAAGCCCACCTGTTCAAGATCCCGTTGTACTCTGAGGTAACCTTCTTCGCTGTCCACTGCACCTCCAAATTTACTATCATGTGCAAACTTACTAACCATACCTCCAATGTTCATATCTAAATCAATTATATAGATGATGAAAAGCAGTGGATGCAGTACCAATCCTTGTGGCACACCACTGGTCACAGCCCTCCAGTCTGAAAAGCAACCCTCCCCTCCCACCCTCTGTCTTCTACCTTCGAGCCAGTTCTGCATCCAAATGGCTACTTCTCCCTGTATTCATGTGATCTAACCTTACTAATCAGTCTACCATGTGGAACCTTGTTAAACATCTTACTGAAGTCCATACAGATCATGTCCACCACTCTGCCCACATTCACTGTCTTCATTACTTCTGAATAGTTTCCACCTTCACTACCTCAGATATATCCTCAGCGATTCTTGGAAGGGCAAGGTCACTAACTCAGAGGTCATGAAGCACGCTAATTCTATCAGCATATGTTAATCACTAAACCAACCGTATCCAAACACCTCAATATTGAGAGCTGGCCGCTGGTTCAAAATCTCCTGAGCATCTATCCCTCCACAGATGTAAGTAAAGATGGCAGACATCTGGAGGCTGACTGTTTGGAAGATCATTGAAAGATGCAACCAGAAATGAAAAGCAGAGCTAGCTGGTTAAGAAGAAGGCCCACAGAAAACAAAGGGTAGTGAATCCCGCACCTTTTCAGCTGACTGTATTCCTCGGCAACATCAGCAACAGACACTAATGTACCAAACTGATGCTCTGAGCCACATAGAGTTGACCAGCCACTCACATACGATCATTTTTACAAGGCAGAAGCCTGCCAATGAATTTGGAGACCAGGGCCAATTATCTCAAGTCCCAGCTTGGAAAAGTAGATACAGTTAATTGAACAGATCTAGAAAAAGAAGCCATTGTAATACTGGATTGTCTTGGAAATCAATGTCCTTTCCGGAAGCAAATCTGCCACCTTTACCTGGTCTAGCCCAAATAGCCAACAGCAGACCCAGAGCAATGTAGTTGACCCAAATCCACTTGTAATCCACTCAGCTGTGTGATTTGAACATCACATTCTCTAGGGCATTTAGTTGTGGCCAATAAATGGCAACAATGTCCATATCCCATAAATGAATAAAAAAAAGGCACTCAAAGCCTGATTGGTGAATGACAAACATTATCTGATCCACCTTATATTAAGAAGTCACTGCCTTTACAGAAATTGTATTCAACAAGTTCGACTGTGTATCAAAACTCCAAATGACCTTGCAATTTGTGTCAAAACACTCAGTGGCGGAACTACAAGTGCAGAATTATCATAGCACCCATTCCACAGCCTTTCCTCAACCCTCTTCCATTGTTTCCAGCAAATACAAAAAGCCTCACACTGAAATAAAAAAGGTAAACTAAAATGGTCGAGTGGCTGCTAAATCATATCAATGAACACAATTTTCTTACTCATAAGTCAAGAGATCCTGGACCCTGCATAATCATTGACTGCAACCATAAACATTAGTACAAAAGTTATTTTTTTAAAAAAAACTGCAGTGCTGAAACAGTTAACAAAAAAAATGAATCTTTACTGCCTTGTTGCTTTCAAGAACTCTTTTTCTTCAAGACAATGGCCATCATTCACCCTTAGCTCACAAAAACAAAATGAAACACTCCATTGTTTCAATGAAACAACCTATACAAATCAGTTCTAACCAAAGCCATTCGCTCACTTGAAAAATATATTTTGTTCTGAACCATCTTCCATCAATCATTTTACAAAAATCCATAAATATATGTCCCATACCTAAAGATACAATAGATTTTCAATAGTTTGTACAGGTTACAATTTTTAATGGATTTAATCAGAATGTCTCCAAAGACAGTGTTTTCACTGTAAGCCACAAATAGAATTATCAACATCTGCTAAATTGCAAGTGAAGGGATCAGACTTCTTTGGTTAATTATAGCGTAGAGAGAGACCATTAAATCTCACTCTGCAATTAAGTCCAATTGCAAAACAAAATCCCTCACGGATACAGATGGCTTACAAGTGCAAAGGAAAACAGTTTTAAAATAGATTTTGTGCGGACTGGAATTTTTTGGAGAGTTAGGGAGTTCATTGCACTGCGGATTTAGAGAAATAAAGAGTTCAAGTGCGGTCTTAAAAGTCGATCACACACCCAGAGAGACGGAATGAAGAAACAAAGTTATTCAACCAGTCACAGGAAATAAAAACAAAGTATTGGGTCTTGGACAGGGTTTCATCAACATTGTATCACTCTCTGTCTCACACTCACCTCTTCACCACCACAACAACCCATCACCAGCGAACATCAATTCCAATGTCCCAAACCTAGTAAATCGCAGCTAGATATTCAAACTCGTAATGACGAGACATCCAACTACACCCTAACCACAACCTAGAAGGGAGCGTGTTACAGTCAAAGCAACACTGACTCCCCTAGTGTCACATTCTAACCAGCACTGACTGTCTATATATTTTGAGTATTGTTAGTACTAGACCAGCTGAGCATTTGTAGTATTTTATAGCTTTCCAGCAATTTGTTTTTCCTTTTCTTATTTCATCCACAGTAGTCTGCTTCTCGATATATGTTGAATCTAATGCTTTTAGCTACAATTTGCACTGTAAAGTTAAGCACATTCAAGTACAATATTAAAGCAAATTGATTTGTAATGCACTTTATGTGTTACCACCACACACTGTAGTTGCATTGTATTACAATGCACATTCACGAACATTGTGTGTTCAGTCTATCTTCAGATAAAAAAAACTTCTCCCTGATCTCTTTCACTCACAAATTGATTTAAGCCAGGCCAGTGATGTGGTCAGCATCTAGAGATGTCTAACCATAGTCATAATGATACATTGTTTGGAATTTCATCATTTAAGTTTAAATTAATTGTGGCGACATTTTAAAAAGAAGCTAGATTTTTATTTATTGTTATTTCATGATGCTGGTGTAGCAGTCCCAACATGCATTTAATTGCAGAAAAATATATTTCTGGAAGAATTATTTGGCATACAGTAGGGTGAAGGATAATTACAACTAAAGGGAATGTGGCCTGAATGGGTGGGCGAATTGCTTTTCACATCTAAAGTTTCCTACCATGTAATCAGTTTGTATGTTGTCATAAATCATGCTGCTAAATTTTGACAAGTTCTTTTGTGAAAGTTTTGGGGTTTTTTTGGTTTATCTTTGGTTATATCAGTTATTCTAAACTGACCAAAACGGCAGTTAATTTGTTCTTATGGTGGTCAGATTACACTGTACTAGCCAGATGATTTAACCTACCAACTGTCTAATGTTACCAACACTGGTCAACATTATTCCTGGAATGGAGGATTAGGGACATAGTAGCAGACATAAGCCATTCAGCCCCTTAAACTTCATCCACCGTTGTAGAACGTCTGTATTCCTGTGCTAACTTTATATAGAGTTATAGAGTACTGCTTCAGGGAAAGAGGCCCTTTGGTCCATCATGTCATACCAGGCATCTATCCACTTTCATCCAATTTCGCACCACTTGACCCCTAGCCTTGTAGGCTATAGGGTTTCAAGTGTTGACCTAAATACTTTCCCAACCTTAACCATCTTTTCAGGCAGTGAGTTTCAGATAACCACCACCATCTGGTTGAAACAAATTTCCCTTAAATCCCTTCTAAACCTCCTACCCTAACCTTACCTCAACACCACCAGTTATTGACCCCTCTAAGGGTAAAGTTTATTACTATTGTAAAGCCTTTTTTATTGTAATTATGGTTGTGGTCTCAAATGAGAAAATAACTGGTTTTAAAAACCAAGGATTGCTAAAGGATAACTGCGGCTTTTAAAAGTAACTCATTTAAAGTCGATGCAGCTGCTGCTCAAGCTGTAGTTAGAATATAGAACTGTACAGCACAAGAACAGGCCCTTAAGCCCATCATGTCAGTGCTGACCATAATTACATTCTAAACAAATTCCATCTGCCTGTACATGGTGCATATCCCTTAAATCCCTGTCCGGTCATGTGTCTATCTAAGTGCCTCACAAAAATGGCTGTCATTTCTGCTTCAACCACTCTCCCTGCAGCACATTCCAGGCACCTACGACCCTTTGTGTAAAAACGTTTCCTCGCACATCTCCTTTAGATTTACCCCCTCTCACCTTAAACCTATGATCGCTATTATTTGACATTTCCACCCTGGGGAAATGACTCCAACTATCCACCCTATTCATGTCTCTCATAACTTTATATAGTTACATCAGATCACCCTTCAGCCTCTGACGCTCTAGCAAAAACAAGCCAAGTTTGTCCAACCTCTCCTTATACTAATACACTGCAATCTAGGCAACATCCCAGTAAACCTCTTTAGCACCCTGTCAAAAGCCTTCACATCCTTCCTATAATGTGGCAACCAGATCTGCACAAGGTACTCCAAATGTGGCCTAATTAAATCTTATACAGCTGCAACGTGATTTCCCAACTTTTATGCTCAATGCCCCAACTGATGAAGACAAGCATGCAATATGCCTTCTTTACCACCTTTTATACTTGTGTTGCCACTTTCAGGGAGCTATGGACATGCACCCCAGGATCCCTCTGTGTATCAAAGCAGCTAACGGTTCAGCCATTAAATGCATATTTTCCTCTTGCATTTGACCTCCCAAAATCACATCACAATTGTCCAAATTAAACTCTGTGATGTTACTACAGCTTTAAGAGGTGTACTGTATCCTGTTTGTTTTTTTTTTTGGAGAGAGGTTTTAAGACAGAGGTGCAAAGCTATCAATTTGAATCCAATAAAGTAAACAGCTTGGCTTTTTTTTAAAATTGGGACAATTGAAGCAGCCTGAATGGATGGGGTCAAGCCCCCCAGAGCCAGGACTTTTAGTTTTAGTTTTTCATTGGCAGCTGCTGGAGTCTTGAAGCTAGGTTTGGAAGCTGCAGTATATCTCACCCTGCTACTC